AGGAAAGAAAACTCATGTTACTCACTCCTGAAGTGCAGGCCCAGCTGGTGACATGGTGCTCCAGCTGTCCCACTGCAAGTTAGACAGGGGGAGAGGAGAGAAATTACTTCACAAGTTGAGTGGAACAAAGGAGGAGCTAAAAGGCCAGATCGTGCAACTTCAGAGTGTGATATAGTCTGGATTTTGGTCCCTACTCTTGTGAGTAGTGCCATTAGTGCCATTGGATCTTTAATAGCCAAGTAGTCAGGACTTACTATCATAAGAGATTTAATCTGAAGGATGGCACAGCCAGCAGCTATATCACCCTGCAACTCACGACTGGCAGCCCACTGAAGCTCAGCAGGTGTGAGCCTGGCCAGTAGCTCGGAAAGCTTGGGTTGCTCCTGGAAGAGGTGTTAGTGGGGCCAGTAGGGGGCACTCACCCTGTGGTCTGTGTGGGTCCTAATACCCCAGTCTAGCAATTGGACACTATACTGTCAAAAGGCGCTGTCCTTCGGGATGTAAAACCGAGGTCCTGAATCTCTGTGGTCATTAACAATCCCAGGACGGTTCTGCAAGAGTAGGGGTGTGATCCTGGTGTCCTGGTCAAATTTCCAGCTGGCCTTTACCAGTCATGGCCTCCTAATAACCCCCATCAATGAACTGGCTTCATTACTCCGTTCTCCTCCCCACTAATAGCTGGTGTGTGGTGAGAGTACTGTGAGTATAGTATGGCTGCTGTCGTATCATCCAGGTGGGGGCTGCACACTGGTGGTGATGGAGGGGAGTCCCCGTTGCCTGTAAAGCTCTATATAAGTGGAAGGACTATTTTTATTATAATTCTGAGAAGAATCCTCAAAAAATCCTAAAAAATCATTTTTATTATTACGTCAGTTTTCGTTTTGTTTTGGTATTTTACCCCCATAGTTTATTCCTTGTCCCCTGTCTCTTCCCCCATTGTGTGTCGTGTTACAGACCCTGACCTGCCTCTGGCTTAAGGCCTACCTGTCAACCAGAGATCGGGGTATTTAATCTAACACTCATGATGTAGTGCTCAGTCTTGTCTTATTATTTTGTGGTCGTTGATGTACTCTTTTGGAAATATTTCGTCTTGCACAAGAGCTTGTCACGTAAATGGACACCCTTTTCACTTTTGTTCTTTGGGGACTGTAGTCTTACGGCTTCTGTGACCACCCCATGACATAACACCATGCGGTTTGATCACACTGCCATTGTTTTAATCAGAGACGTGCTCTTTGAGTTCTGTCACGCAGTGGTGGCCACCTGGATTTGAATGGTAACCCGTGCTGTTGATGGGCTTTTTAAAACCTCCAGGTATTTCATGGTTCTGGTTTATAGAATGCTGGCATTGTAGGAAGAAATAAGCCAGCTCTATACTCAGTGCCAGAGATGCAAATATATGCTACTGTACATGATGTATTTTGCCTTCTTTGAAATGTGCCAACACAAAGTTGTACAGGATGTGATGAATGGATAATGAACATGCTTGGTGTTTGCTTGAGGAGAGGAAACTCAGTCCTGAATGGGCACATTGCAGTGCGGCAACCCAGTGTTTTCCCGATATTCTCCAATTGCTTTCTGTTTTTTCCCCCTCCCCCGCAGATGCTAGGTCAGTTTATCGCCAGGGCGATTGCAGACCACGCGCTGCCGATGAATTTCCTGGACCGCTACAAGGGCAAAGTGGACTGCGACCATGCCAGGTGTGTGAAACTTGACTGAGGTCATGGAACACGGGGGGAGGGGGGTACCTGTCAGATCATTACCTTGTGAATGACCTGCATGCACTTGAACACGTCCTGTTGCCGGTGCTGTTCAGTACTGTGGGTACAACATAAATTGTTGGTGAGGGAGCCACATGTCCAGTACCAGACAAGTACGTACTGGATCACCTGAATCTCTCTCTTGGTGCAGAATGTCGTTTCACGTGTTTTTGTCCCCAGGTACGTTTTGGGGTGTTTTCTTTGGCTCTTTGGCTCAAGATCAAGACTGATCTGGAAGCAGCCTAAAGCCTCAGCTTTCAGAGTAGTCGGGAGACCTTCAAAACACTTTGCACTGCTTTGTGGTGAAGAAGGCCTTTCCCTTTCACGCGACCGTCTTCGTTTCCATTTGTGAATAAGAACTGTCCGCAGTGCTACCATGTTCATCTGCTGTACTCACACCTGACAGAGGCCAGTTGCTGTTGTAAGTGGTCCTGGCGGTCCAGGGGTCATCCCTTGGGACCAGGGCATGGTGTCTGTTCAAGTTCAGGTTCACGTTTATTTGTCATTCCAGCCATATCCAAGTATACAGTGGAACGAAATAGGGTTCCTCCTGGTGCACAGTGCAAATACAGACAGGACACTGACACAGACATGGTAGACAGGATACACATAGTGCAAATTACAAGGCAAATACATTATACAACATACACAACACACGGGGGGATTTAAACCCTGTTTCTGGAATTGGGGTGGGTGCCAGTAGATTCCAGGGTGTTGAGGAGCCTGACAGCCTGCGGGAAGAAGCTGTTCCAGAGTCTGGTGGAGCTGGCCCGTACACTGCGATATCTTTTCCCAGATGGTAGGAGGGCAAAGAGTTTATGGGAGGGGTGGGAGGGGTCATCTTCTATACAGAAGGCCCCGTGTAAGCAGCGTTTATGATGGGTGACAGAAATGGAAGGGAGGGCAGCTCCAATGATCTTTCCAGCTGTTTCCACAATTGTTTGCAGGGTCTTGCGGTCTGAAGCGTTGCGATTTCCAAACCAATCAGTGACACAGCTGGTCAAGGTGCTCTCAATGGTGCTTCTGTAGAGAGTGGTAAGAATGGGCGGGGGAAGGTTTGCCCTCCTCAGTCGCCGCAGGAAACGGAGACGCTGCTGTGCTTTCCTGCCTAGGGCGGTGGTCTGTTCCAGAAAGTCCTTACTTTAGGGTTAACATGCCAGCCAGAGCCCTACAGACTCGGCTGCGCTTTTACCAGACCAGTTAACTCAGGTTATAGTGGCCCAGTGCACGGCCGTTTTAAAACCTCACCCAAGTACATGTGCACCCACATCATACAGAGTTCAGATAGTCGTTCTTCATGATCGCCTGTCTTTCCAGTTGTCTTCACAGTGGGGCTGTTGCAATGGATAGAGGTGGAGAACAGCTATTTCATTTTATCGCTGAGTCAGCAGTCAGGTCATTGCCGGTGGTATGCAGCTAGTGTGTTCATAGAATTGAACACACCTGACCGACCAGTTTGCAGTCTCTCCCGTCCCATTCAGCAGATTTATCTAATTCAAGAAATTGGTTAGGGGGGCCTTTTCCTTCAAGCGTATGACAAAAGCAGAGGAGAACAGTCTGTGATGGGAGATCACATTGGTCACAAATAAGCGACGATGATGAGCACCATGAAGAGAGAAGAGGTGAATCGTGTGTAGAAGGTGTGAAAACAGCGGCGTGTGAGAAAGTGTTCTCTTGATTATTTGCTGCCTGTTTGTGGTTGGCTCCAGGGCTGCTCTGGACCGGGCTGCTGTACTGCTGTCCATGAAGAGAGAAATTGTGCGACTAGACAATGTGTGGGGTGTGGGCGGAGGACAGAGGCCGGTCAGGCACCTCATCAAAGAGGTAGGAAAAAAAAAGTGCTTTTTGTTCAATGTCGTGGCTGTGGACAGATGCTATGTTCGAAACGGGTGCCCAAACTTGACGCTCTGTGTATAGTCGGCTTTCAGCCCATGTCCTTAATCTTAAAGATCTATTTCAACAACCTTCAAAACAAGACAACAGAAGAGAGAAGGCAGGCAGGTTCGTCTTGGTTCATGTTTTCATCACAATAGTTTGAGAAACAAAATATTCCAAGTATTTGAACATTACGAAGCAGTGTGTAGGTGGTCAATGAAGGCTCCAGATTTATTAAACTGGAAGATAAGAATAAGCATAAGGATTATTTAGTATTATTTACACTTATATGACACTTTTCTGGACACTTCACTCAAAGGGCGTTACAGGTAATGGAGACTCCCCTCCACCACCACCAGTCTGCAGCCCCACCTGGATGATACGACAGCAGCCCATACTGTGCTCACAGTACACTCACCACACCGCAGCTCTCAGTGAGGAGGAGAACAGGGTGATTAAGCCAATTCATAGATGTGGGGGGGTTATTAGGAGGCCACGATTGCTAAAGGCCAGTGGGAAATTTGACCAGGACACCAGGGTTACACCCCTACCCTTTCTGGGAGATGCCCTAGGATTTGTAATGAGCAGAGTCAGGACCTCGGTTTTACATCTCGCCTAAAGGACTGGGCCTTTTTCGCCGTCACTATACTGGGACATTTTTTTTTAGTCCCTTGCCATCTTGGCCGGGTTGCAAACTAGGTCTCCAGCGATGGAGAAGCTGCCCGTCTGTAACCTGTGGCGCAGTGAGGGAGACGTGCGCTGATGTGCTCTGTCATGACCGGTCTGCTAGTGGACTAGACAGTGCTCGCCTGACTGCCCAGGTCAGTGGGAAGCTCTTTGGACATGTGTAAGTGCCAGGAGCACAGGAGATCCCTTATGTAATATCTTCTTTCTGTAGTAGATTCCCCACTAGTGTTATTTCCTGCTGGTTCTTGCAGCATTTTATTACACGTTTGTTTTATATACAGATTTTAATATCCTTTTAATACAGCAGGTTTGTTTGAATTGCTTTGGGGCATTCCAAGTAAAGTACCTTGCTCGGGGGCACAGCGCTAAGTTCCCACCTGGGATTTAAACTTGCAGTACCTGTGATACAGAGCCCAGTTTAACCTTCCACACTGCTACTGTTATTAGGCTGGTACGTACACCCCTCTTTGTACAACATGCATGGGTTCATTATAACCCAGATGCCTGGGACAAGTCCATGTTAAAATTCTAAAAAACATTCAAGCGTAATCTAATCAGTCAAACATTTCCTGATTAGATAAAAGTGCACACTTGTTAGCTGCTCTCTGGTTCACTTCCCTCTCCTTGAATAAATGTGTAAAAAGGTGGATCAGTTTTGCTTTGTGTTCAAAGAAATGAAGAAATGTGAAAAAAGAGCAAAACGCGTAGTGTGCCGAAAACGTGGAACATTTGTATGAAAGTTCTGAGGGAGTTCTTGGGTCTTAGTACACAGCATTTATTCAGGAGGGACTTGCCCTTAAATCAGGTCTGGATCTTTCAGAGCTGAAAGACAGCAACTGGGAGTGTATCTCAGCATTAAGGGAGATCATCAACAGTATTGTTGTCTGCTGTGAAGAAGCTCTGTGTGACTGTAAGAAAGACATTGTATGAAAGTTCACAATCTGTACATTCTTCATGAAACCCTCTTCCAAGGAGCCCAAGCCAGGAACCTGGACAGATTTAAATTCTAATAAATATGATGCATTTCTGCTATTTAACAATGATATAAATAATTGATTAAGCTAATGTTCTGATTGAGTCCTCACCTATTTTAGTACTTAAGTAATTTGCATGTTTATTTTGTGCTCATGCAATCTATCCCTGTTCAGCCTGTTCATGACTCCATTTAGCTTGTATTTAATTTAGAGCAAATTGTTCTGGAACCTATCTCTGGTCAAAATGAGTTATAAATAGGCGCAAAATAATATAATCTTTCTTGTCTTGGTCAGAGACCCATTCAGAGTTCCTGGTGAGGTGACGGATGAGTCACTGTCGAGAGTGATTTCAGATTTCCCTTGTTTTTGCTGGTGCTGATCTGATTTTTGTGCTGATGTTTCATCTCCTTGGCTTTATGGAGATGCCTGGGTCCCCTGGTTTAACGAGTAAACACTGTCTTCTGAAGACAGATTAACGGCACGGCCCGGGTGAAGACGACTGGTTTAGGATAATTAGGATAAGGATAAACAGTCTCTAGCCAAATCCCTGATGGATAAAACTGTACTTCAGACTGTGAGCTTTATCTTAGTCTACCAAGAACTACAGGATTGGGCTCGTAAACACTGCCTTGCTTGGGCTGTTCTGTGCACTGTATCAGGTCCTAGCTGCCCAGACTTCTGAAGAGTTGGGTTTTAAAACCTGTCCTTGAAATTCCATTGAAAATCTCTCTTCTCTTAGTGACAGATCCTCACTTAAACTTCAGGTTGACTGTTTGAACTTCAGAATTTCAGTTTTGTTTAATACACCAGGAAGGGAAATAGTGGGTCCTTCAAGATGAAGGCAATTCCAGGACAGCCTTTTGGCACGAAATGCATTGTAACTGTCAGACTGAGAGTGATGAAGACAAATGTCTTTTGCAGTCTAAGTAACGGGTGATTTAGAAGGCAGTGCAGGCTGGTGTCAAGTGTCATGGGGTGGTGGTAGGCTGCTGTCTGAATATGAAATGATGTGCACTGCTGTAAACTGAGACGTGTGCTCACAAGGTGGCAAAATGGTGAACGAGACATTTACACACTATAAAGTAATGAGTGTGATAGTTTAGGGAAACGACCTTATGGAGTTCTGTAATGGTCAAAAATTAGAAATGTCTTATGCAGTGAGGGGTGGGCCGTCTGCTTTTTGTCATTATGCCAGTAGATTATTGTTCCAAATTGCCGGGCTCACAAAAAGGTTTCTTGATCGTGTAGCAGGGCATGAAAATGTAAGAATAGCTACAGAGGATAAAGGTCGCTCGGCTCATCAAGCATGTTTGGTATCTGGCAACTTACGAATCCCAGGATCCCATCCAGCCAGCTCTTGAAATAAGACGGTGTGTGGGCTTCCCCTTTACCATGTCCATTTGTGTCCACTATTTTTATTTGTCTCCGCTGGTTTTGAAGCGAGTAGGTAGTAGGTAGGTAGTAATTTGGGTTGTTGAATCCTTCAGTTGAGTCACTATTGAGGACTAACAGGACTCTGTTCCTTCAGCCGGTTGCTGTAGGACACTCCCACAGTCTTTAATTCCCCGTGCCCTGCTTGCTGGCCCATTTGTGCCTTGCACGCTGGTCTCCCCGGTGAATGTGAAACAGAAGTTCAGGATTGCTTTGTCACACTGTTCCGCGATTGTGAGTACCTCTCAGGCAGGTCCTGTGGAAGTGATCCCTCTACCAAGACTGGGAAGGTTCTTTTCTGCTTTCCTATAGTGACGCACCTCTCCCTTCAGCCCACTAATTGTTCTGCTCTCCCCTCGACTAGTGTGTTGTCCTCGTCGTGGACGTCGGTTTCCTGTCCTGTGTGCTGGTGAGAGTGGGCTCCTGACCGAGCTGTTTTGTTTTTGTTTTTGTTTTTGCCTCAGATGAACCTGCTGCTGAAGGAGTACCTGGTGTCAGGGGAGGTGTCGGAGGCGGAGCACTGCCTGCGGGACCTCGAAGTGCCTCACTTTCACCACGAGCTCGTCTACGAGGTAACGCATCATCAACCCGAGACGCTGTGGGCCGCCGGCCTGCCCCCCTCCGTGTGGTCTAAGGAACTAAGGAACGATAGAGCCGATGCCTTGCTGCCTGTTCGGCAGTGTAGCAGTGTTGTTTAGGGAGACAGGAACTGGAAACACCCAGACTTCGAAACAATACACAGTAAAATGCTAATGTATAGAGGACTGTTGTCATATCACGGCAACATTTTTTTCAAGCACACATTTATCAGTCAGATCAAGCCGATGGATGAGGACGTTAAAAAGAGATATTGTAAAAATTCAAGAAAGGACTTGAAGTGCCTTTTCGTTTCGCAGCCTTTGGAGAACAAACCTGAGTTCCCACCGTTCAGTTGTGAAGGCTTGTGGTTCCCACTACTAATACACATTGCCACCTAGTGGCTGACTAGAGTAAGTCCTCCACCCTAGACCAAGAAATATTCGTGTAATTAATGTTCTGTTTAACAGTGATTATGCTACAATATAGGTTACACCCTGTACGCAACTGCCTGTTACCACTCATATTAACATCAGATTAGTTTGCTGTGGTCTTTAGCAGTTTGCTGTGTATTTATAATAATGGATACATGTGATCATGTTGAAACATTGAAGAATTCGGTCTGCTTTCCTGGCTACAATCTTTTATTAAGCTTTCAACTGATAAATGAGAGTGCTTTTTGTGTAATTCATTTTTTGTAGGGCAGCTGTAATAAACATCTGCTGCACTCGCTAGGCACTGTACATTAGTCATTCTAGTCTCTTGTCTGTACTGTGGCTGTATTATTATATATCCAGCCTTTATTAAATTAAATTATATGGCCAACCAGCGCAAAGGGTTATAGCTTAGTGTGTCTTCCCTTGTGCAAGGCTCTTTCCATAAAATAAAGACTCGAGCTGTAAATTATTTTAGATCTGGGGATCTGGAGATCTGACCATCTCCTGTGGTCAGTCCCACTTTAATATTAAACATTTCTAATTTCATGTTTACAGTGACTGTGACAATCTAGGATCTTCACACCTCTCTTGGTTTGTTTAACTGTGGTGTCATATCTAAATCCAAGTAGTATTTTCTTCTAAAATTATGTTAATTATACACATAGTTCCTTATATAGCACAGTTTGAGCTAGATACATGGTCAGATATCACCAGTTAGTGAAATGTAGCAGGCCTCAAGATGATGATCTGAACCAGAATGCATAATCGCATTGTGTTAGTATAACCAATAAGGTTAGAGGAAGCTCTTTGGTGCAAGAGCATTAGACTAAAGTGGAAAACAATACTGACCTCTGGTGGTAAGATAATGTACCATGTTCCATCTGCTCCTCTTCAGCCAGACAGGATTTTGTGTTTTGTCCCTTCACAATGTGAGGGTACACATGCACCCATTTACTTTTCCTGTAGGAACTGACATCCTTCGGGATCATCCTGAGGATTTGTACACCCATGGGACAGAAAATAATCGCATTTTAATAATCATCAATTTCCCTACGGGATTAATAAAGTATTATCTATCTATCTAATCAAGGAAACATCAATCTTCTAGTCAACCTGTTTCTTTATCAATTTTGGTGAAGTACTCAGGGAAGGGTCCAGATAACACCCACTGCAGCACAGAATCATGTTCCTTGTCTTCCTCCCTTCGGTTAGTTTAGCAGTTAGAAGGCTTTGTTTTTGTGCTCCTTTTTAAGTGCAAAATAAGTGCAATTAATCAGATATTACTGCCATTCCTGGAGGGGTCTCTTGCGCCTGTTGCTGCCTCAGAAAGCTGACCTTTCAAGCTCTTGTCTTCTCACATCCAGGCTGTAGTCATGGTGCTGGAGTCCAAAGGGGAGACCGCAGTCCAGATGATGGTGAAGCTGCTGAAGGTATTCTGGGAAACTGGGCTCATAACCCTGGACCAGATGAACCGAGTGAGTGTTCAGTCACAGTGACTTGCGAGACACGAGTTTGTTCATACATGGGGGGGAGATTGAGCCCTATCTTCATCGGCCCACATGGATGAAAACCTGATGGCATGAGATGTAGGCGGGGTAACGGATCAGAACTGCTTTAAAACTGTGAACGAGAGGCCCTTCTTGACACAAAGGGTTGTGGGGGCCAATGAGGTTGAAGCCGATTCCCCGTGCTTTCTTTCGAGAAGTGGCTGGATGTGATCCTTGGATCGTTAGCTGACCGAACGAGCTCGGTGGCCCTGAAGGCCTCTTCTCGTTGGGAGCCTGACGTCCGTTTTAGAAAAAGCAAGCCGCACAGTGTCAGGCGAGGACGAGAATGTCTCGCCTCTTACTGGAAGAGCTGCAGGGCAGCAGGTGTGACATAGTGACGGAATCTATCCAAAGTCCGAACAATAGTGCTGACCGTGAGGTCAGAAGTACAGCCCAGGGAGCAGCGATGGCCATTTTAATACAAAGGGCATCCATTTCCCTTGGAAGCTCTGTCTGTTAAAGGTTACGAAGTGTGTGGAAGCACAAGGGAGAGATGGTGAACCATAAAGTCTCCACCCCATGACGCATGTTTGGGAATGTGCTTGCAAACCATCCACACTTGGAACACCGTCCAGCAAGAGGACCAATGATTGGTTTTAAAGCCCCTAACCACGCCTCTACTACCTGCACTCACTAAGCTATTACAAAATGTCTAAGGGGACATCATTCCCAGTGGAAATTGCCTCTAGAGGCCTGAGACAGAGGAGAGCCCGAAAAAATTAATGACACATGAACACATATTTCGACGTTTAATGTGTGTAATAAGGAAGTTTTACCAGTGGCTACGCAGTGCCGTGGCGGTAGGCCTGATGGGCGGATCTTGTGTTGCAGGGGTTCCAGCGCGTGTACAACGAGCTGCCTGATATTAACCTGGATGTGCCTCATGCCCACACTATCATGGAGACCTTTGTGGACCTGTGCTTCCAAGAGTCTGTCATCACCAAACAGCTAAGAGACGCTTGTCCTTCCAGGTGAGCCTCGTCAGCCCCTTGCTTAATTCGCTTTCTGTAGCACGGCCTCCTTCTTTAGGGAAGTTTTTGTTCCATCATTAAGTTAGGTATGAAACGGGAGGAGAAAATATTACAAGTAGAACTTAGGAATGGTTGGAGAAAGCGTGGAAGGTCTTCTGTTAAGGTTCCCAATTGACAGATGTAATCTGAAGTGACAATTTACAAGGATTCAAGATGGAAGGGGCAGGATTGAGAACTAGGTAATTAAAGGAAAACCCCTACCCCGACAGTAAGAGTAGGGGGCATGAACTGGGTCAAGGACGTTTACACAAGTGTAAATCAAGAGGTAGTGGTATTAATGATTAGAAATTCACACAAAGGACTTCAGGGATCTGGAATAAGGTAACCAGATTCAACGTTGAAGAAGATTCCTGAGGAAGATGAGTTGAGGACGATGATCTGATTCAGCCTTTCCAGCTAAAGAAAAAGCTGAATCAGATCAATGAGCTGCTAGCAACCAGTGGGCTTCTCTCAGATTGTAGCCTTTCTTATTTTCTTACATTCCTGCAATTGCGTTGTGCATCCGTGTGAAGAAGCATCCATCGGTTCAGCTCTCGTGTTGAACTGAGCATGAGAAAACGCACGCACGTCTGTAAGTGTAAAAGTGCTCAGAAGTGTTCAAACCAGCCTGACCCGTCTTTTCCCTGTCGTTCTGGCCACCAGGGGGCGCAAGCGGTTTGTGAGCGAGGGGGACGGAGGCCGCATCAAGCAGTAGAGCGGAGCGAGAGAGTGTGGGCGCCTCCCCCCTGCCCGGGGCCCGGGGCCCGCGGCAGGGAGAGCCCCGAGTGGCCCCGGCGCTCGGCCCCACGTCAACGCCAGCGGAATGTGGAAAAGGGGGAGGGAAGGGGGGGTGGGAGGTGTGGGCTGTGGGCTGTGGAAGCTTATTTCTCCTTTTATTTTTTTGGTCTTTCTCCCGAGTTCGTGTTTTTTTTTTGGCGTGCTCTTGAACGGAGGGAGGGAGACTGGAGGGAGCTGGTGGGGGGGGTTGGTTATGGCGGTTCCTGCACCGGTGACTGTCCGTTGTATTTTGCATTGCATGTCAGGCCATGATTCAGATATGGGTCCTAGTGACGAAGAAAGGAAGCAGCGGGGATTCCGAACTTCTCTTAATAGGGCTCTGGGGTGAGGGTGAGCGTGTCTGGTGTCTCTTTTGTATTTTACTTCTTGACCGCGTTATACTTGCACAGTAATGTCTTGCTTTCCTGCGGCTCTTGGCGGTTTTCTGGTGGGGAAGCCTCTCCACTCCCTGCAGTCTTGGTGCTAGCAGCCTAGCTGTATCTCAGTTCGGTGCCGCTTAGGAAAGACGCTACACCTTGACCAGGCCCTCTCCCGCCTGCCGTCTTTGCTATTCCTGTTGCCAGTTTGTTGGGAGGTCTGCCTTCCCGGGATCCTGACTTCAGAGTGCAGGCAGCCACGGGGTGGTGCTGTCCGGGAGGTTATGCCTTATCCCTCTACACAGACGGTCAGCACAGTCGTTGCAGGTTCACCGGTGGAGATGAAGGCAGGCGCAGGCAGGTGTGTGGCAGTGAGTAACATGTCCTGAGCAAGGTCTGAAAAGGTCTAGAACTTACCAAAAAAATCTTATTGGGGGTGTAGCTAGGATAGACCGTTTGTAAAGATGGCTTTTCAGCCAGTCATCAGATACTGTACAGAATTCCAGGAATATTGTAGAAGATCCATAGCAAAACTGCCAATGAGCAGTGAAGGAGCTGGAAGGATGAGGGAGTCACAAAATATTTTTTTTTTCAAGTGTAACAGCAGAGATGTCAAGCGCTCGACATCTTTGTTTTTTTTGAGGTAGAACCAAAGAGCGTGGGGTTCTAATGTCACAGTATTCATGTTTTTGCGCTTTTAATGTTGATTCCATTTCATGCTTCTGAAAGAAAACAGTTTTTTTTTTTGCCAGAGTCAAACCCAGCTGTAAAAATATGGTGTGTGGAGTACGTCTTTGAAAATGAGATTTCGCAAAGATTTCTAAATCCGGGGAAAACGCAGAACTTAGTTTGCGTAGGAGACAGAAGACGGTTCTCACACACCTGAACTCTTCTTGTTTGCATGAGCTTTAGAACTATTCTTCTGGAGTTTAGCTACTTGCCCTCCTAGCTGTTGCAGTTTTTATTTGTATGCATCCAAAGATTTGTGCTTAAGCTGTGAACCTGAACTGTGTAAAAGGGGACACATTAGCTCTGTTATACTGGCCTATAACCTGAGATTTTCCAGTAAAAGTGACCAAACGACATTCAAAATCACGACTCTGAAGGGGAAAATTGAAACCGATGGAACAGCTAGGGAAAAAATTTATTCCATGTTATGCCAGGAACGAAAAAAAAAAAAAACACATATTACTTCAGCCTTTTCTGGTCGGTTAAAATGGGCCAGAATATTAGAAACAGGTATTGTGTTTTTCAGTGGATTTGAAACATGTATAATAACCTTGATGACAGCTGTTATAAAAAAAAAGTGCACAGAAAAGTACAAGTGCTACCATTACTTTCATTTTTTTTTTGTTAGGAATGGATCTTATTTCCCATGAGCCTTTTTATAGCTTGGGCAAAATCTCATCTTTTCATTTTGTTTCTCCTAGTCTGTATGCTGTCCTATTCAATTCTCTCCTTCTGAACCAAAACGGATCTTCAGAGCAGGGTTGCTTCTCTCTGGCACTTTTCGTATTCTGAATTATGAAACCCTTACCTAGCTTGTAAGAGAGCAGTTTTTTTAATGCTAAGTTCTTCTTCACAACATTTTGACCACAAGTCTCTTTAAATCTGATGTCTTTGTATATAATGTACTGTCAGCTTTTTTTTGCTTTTAAAGCTGAAACCAGAACTCCTACACAATGTGACAAAAATGAGTACAAACTCTGATAGTTTCCTGACTCCTTTCTTTCTATAAGAAATAATATGTAGTCACTGATGAAATATTTCTAGAGGCACACCTACTTTGAAAACATTTTTCAGGTTTCACAAATTTACAAATGTAGAGGCCTTCCAAAGGGTGCAGTTTACAGAACAATGCACCTATTAGATGAATGAGATGCTAAATTGCTATTGGTTTATGGTGAAGAGTGAGACGGGTTTATTTGCAATCAGTTCCACCATTCGTTGACTATTGTTGGCTCGGCATATTTGAAGACAAAATATTTAGAAATAATTAGAAATGAATGCAGCCCCGATTGTCTGAAAGTGCTGTTCGGGCAGCTAGGATGCATTATAACCTTGTTAGTTTATTTCCTTTGAAAGAAATCTCTACAAGCTGAACAGACAGCACAGATTGTGAAAACGGAATTACTTTTTTCAAAGGGCTTAAAAGCAGCCTCACCAGCTGCAATGGAGACACAGCATCTACTAGCTTCCTGAGTGGCCGCCTTCCAGTCAATTAATGGTCTGTCTCACTTTGGGCTGTGTAGGATTTTAAAATATTGTTCAAATGTGAATTGCAGCAAAGAAAAGCCTTTGAATTCCATCACCACCCAGCACCAATACATCTTGAAACTGCTGCTTGAAATGATCAAGTGCAAGTATTTCCTTACATCTGGTTTCATGAAGTGTCTTTTTATTTCCCAGTTCTCTTTATAATATTTCCTCTCAAATATAATGCAAAATTAAGTGGGCGTACAGACTTATTATCAAGGTCCTGATACACCTAATGATAACATCTGAGGTGGTTTCGAAACCTAAAAGAAAGGATTACATCAGCTGCTGGTTTACAACTGTCCAGTTTTATTTTGGCAGAGTTTGATCAAATTCAGATGACATTGCGTTTTTAATCAAATAAGTGTTAAATGATTGTGTATAAGAAAACTTAAGAAATGGAGAGAGAGAAAGCCCTGCTTTGGAACACAGTGACTGAATCGCTTTGTAAATTCAGAACCTCTTAACGGTGCAGGAAGTAAGCACAACAAATGTTGACTTTTTGTGTGCATTTGTACTTCAGTTGTTTTTATTTTTGTCCCCAGTAAGGACAGTTTAACCAAAAGGACCTGGAATGTTAATCTCTCAAGGTGCACTGATAGAGCCTTAGGCACATCTCAGTGTGATGTTCTCTGCTCAGCTCATAGTCGCCCCCATGGCTGGTGGTTTGGCCATCATCAATGGGGAAAATCCCATTCCTTTTCTTTGGTTCTACTCCCTGCATTATTTTTTTCCCCGTTGTGGCTGGGGAGTCCTTAGCGGGTGTGCAGATGTGCAGTTAACACGGTTACTTCTGTATGTCGGTGCGCATGATAATCCACACACTTGTGATAATACCGTATTGTTAAAAGCCACCAGCCTTTTTCAAAAAAAAAAAATCAGTCAAGCAATCAAATGCTGGTAAACCCAACAAGGATGAATGGCATCAACTTTTCATCACAGCTTCACGTGGTCAAAAGGGTTAATAAAAATACAGAGTAAAAATCCGTCATTCGGGTTCGATGGTGTAGGGTTATCATCAGCAGCTTCCTTATTTCTCGGGGTATGTGTGTGGAGGGGTAAAGAGTTAATTTTTGGTGTAAATACCTAATTTCAGGTTATCACTGCGTTTTTGTAACATTTTAAAGTCATTTTTTACAAGTGTGAACGTTACTGTCTGAACAGTTGTTTTCTTTCAGGTAATTTGTTGAAAATGATGACAGTGCTTTAGCTCCTATCACAAATGGTAACCAAAAAACCAGTATTGCTGTTTTTTTTCCAGTCTTTTTGTACCCTCCTCTGAACCTGTAATGCAACACATTGTGAATCACTTGTTAAAAAGCTTTACTTCTCTTTGTTCTGTTACTTCCAGCATTGCAAATACATTTGGGACAGTGTCATTATTTCAATAAAAGTTGACCTAATCCTAGCCTCTTTGTGTCATGGTGTAAAAGTGTATTAATCTGAACTTTTGCTAATAACATTCAGAGAAAGAGCAGTGCCATGCTGATGAGTTGGGTTGCCTTCTTGATCTTTGCTGGTCGCCCTGAATGTTTCACAGGTTAAGAATGACATTCATGTCAGAATGTTCTTAAGGGCAGATTTCCTTGGCTGTTGCTCTTCTGATCAGGTTTTGTTAAAGTATTCACGTTTCCTTGGGCTAAAGCAAAATACAAATAATCCTTTATTTATCCAGATAAGTCACTTCGAGAAACTCGTGTTTACAATGACAACCTGGAAAACGCTCACGCGAATGGGCGTTTACTGCTGCAGACTGAAGCACCGTGCTCAAGGGAGAGTAACCAAAGCATCCACCCTGGGATTGCCGGAGCTCTCAAATCAGACAGCCCACTATGCTGCTGCAGCACACCCAATAATGCCGCCCCAATTCAAGCAATGCATCTGGCAGACCTGACTTGTTTGCACAGGACAAAGCTTTCATGTAACATTGCCAGGTTAAGGAAAAGGTGTGCAAGGTGTTTGTTAGTAAACAGGGAGCTTGCATTGATTAGTAGAGCTACATTACGTGCTTGTGGAAGGCACAAGGTGAAATTTGGCTATGACTCAGAGGTTCGTGAGAACAAGATTAAAGAGGCCTAAAGTGCAACGGTACGTACCGTACAGTATCTCGCAGTATAACAATTAGTCATTTTTACACACGTATTTGTTCCAAGCGAGCCGTTCGCTTGATGAACTATGCGTCAGCACCTGGAGCTCCCAGAGGGTTACAGTAGGATGCTGATTCTGACCTGAAGAACTCAAGGTTAAAACCCAGCAGGCTGATTACAGAATCTTTCCATCGCAAATTCTGGTCTTTTGTCTCGAACAAATCCACCATCCAGTGAAGAGGAAAAGGGCCAGTATCCCTTTACCCCAGTCTAAAAAAGGTTGGTACAGTACTTGATGAAATTTTATTAGTTTAACACCTGGTGAATCTAATGTAACTGGGGAATTCTGACTTTGTTGACAGTAAATATGGAAATTTACCTCCCTTAGTCATGGATTTATTACGAATTGAGGAAGAACTAAACTCCAGCACTCAGTCAGAAAAGGGCACAAAATTTGTGATGGGAATGCCAAAATATCTAGACGAGAAACAAGCTCAGGAATTTATCATCTCAACTCAAGGTACAATATTAAAAAACACACCAAAAAAACAGGATTTATTCAGGAATTTAGTTCCCTGAGCCATTAAAAAGTGCTGGGACTCAAAAAAGGCCTAAAATACCCAACAAGACCGACCCAATCAAGCACTGCATTTAAAAATCTGAAGTGTTTGTAAAGGATAACGCTTTCATTTCACATTGGTTTTCATTTTCAGTGATTTAATTCAAGTAATTTTGAATGTGCCTAAAAAAATATAAGATTTGAATGTATCTTCAAAAGGACGTTAATGGATTACTCTACAAATCTTGGCTTATAGAAATGGTATGGGGATTGTTTCTGATTAATTTGTCAGCTGTCAGCCAGAAATGTGTAGTAGTGGTTTCGGTTTTGTACTTGTAACTGGATTTCTGTGGGTTCATGTCCCAGATGACATACTGCTGCAATGCCCTTGAAAAAGGTACTTCGCCCAGCTAGTTCCAATAAAAAAGCATTGGCCAAGTACATGAATTGATTAATCCTGACTGACCGTGATACACTTTGGTGATTGTGAATGTTGTATAAGCACTGTTACTCAGATCTAGCCTGTTGAAAATGAAGAACAAGAACACAGCAAGGAACCAGTACCCCCTATCATTCCTTTGAGTCATTGGTATGTTGTAGGTGGAACTAGGTCACGTCAGGACGGACACAGCAGCAGTGAAGCCAGGTCCTCTTGAGCAATGAATGGAGGTTCTGTATTGACCATCCTGGTGTTGTAAGCAGGTGTGGCACAGACAATAGCGCTTATTTACTAGAGATCAATCAATGGAGTCATCCCAAGCTTGGTGGTAGGATCTACACTCAGAACTACTCTAGGCATGACCGGTGGTTGCCTGCCTGTACAGCCTTCCAGTGGACCGAGGCTTGGTGACCTTGGTGTGACAGTATTTCAGCTGAAATGAAGCCTTAATCAACAGGGATGAGCTTTGACGTTCTGCGGCATCCAGGTTTCAGAGTAGCGTATACAAGCACATGCTCTTCTAGGGCCTGTCCAAGAGGAATGGGACAGAGTTCTTCAACACAGCATCTGCACAGCAAAGTGTGTGCTTCAGATGTACAGCTCATATTGCTTCCAACAAGGGTCACAAATATTTACAGGTAAACATGATGGCAACTAAGTACTTTTTGGAGGCGCAAGAAGGAGAGAAGCGGTAATGTGCAGACAAATTCATGATACCCACGAAAGGGAGAAACTCGGGCAGTCTGAAACACAGAAGACAGAGAAACTGGGATCTATACTTAAAAGGATTTCACCTGATTATAGTATTAGCTGTATTTTTTCTTAAAGATATAAACATCCCTGTTCATATACTAACAAATGAAAGATGCTGCTTTAAAAACACTGTAGCATATTGCAATTTAACTTTATTTTGTATCTTAATAAAGGAATTGGTAACAGCACATGTGTTACACAACCTGATTTCCCAACATTTGTTTTCCATACGCTATCTTTAGTTAAAATGGGTTACATTACAAGTCTCAGAAAAACACAAGGCATTTTGATATGGCTTTTGAATCTTTCTTTGGTTTCCTTGGAGATTAGCCTGCATGATTTTCATTTGTAACCCATTTTAGAGACAAGGCAGAGCTAAAACTGATTCTTTAATATCACAGACAACTCCCTTTCATAAACTCTGCTAAATACCACAGTTTCAATTTGAGTTTTGAGCATTTTGGGCAAACACAAAAATACAGATGAATAGGAAAATGTTTATAAAGCAACTTTAATTGTCAAAAAATGATCATCTTATTGAAGAGTACAGTACGTATTCTATTAAATTTTTACTTACATTGGTATGCAGTTTCTTCTTCTTAAATGGAAGTAACTTCTCTCGTAAATGGAAGAGTAATTGAAAGGTTATTTTAAAGTTTTCTCTGTACTTGGCAGTTCCTTTGTTTCCTACACACTTACTGTGAAGATTTTTTTTGAAGCATTCTTAGGTTTTTCTATGAGAAGTGCAATTTTTTTAGTCACATCTATACTGTCTTCAGTGCTGAAAAGAAGATTGCTCATAGAATACTGTATACAATTTTGGTCACCACATTACAAAACAAAATGCTTTGAACTGAGTCCCAAGAAGAGTGACCAGATGTGTTCCTGTACTTAAAGAGATACCAGGGAACATGACACAGGTATTCAAAATCCTCAAACGTCAATCTAGTGCAGTGGTTCTCAAACTTTTTGGACCAAGTACCACCCCTGATCAAGCCAAAACGTACCACCTACAAGTCATCTTCTCATAGGAACCCCAGAAAATCTCAATGACCAACATGAGCACACGTGTAATAAAAATAGCACTGAGCACTTAATTTGGATCATACTGCGCTGTATCAACATAGTACGTAGGCTGCGTATTTGACATAAACTAATTTTATGAAAACAGAAAATATGAAAACCCGTCTCAAGTTTTCTGAAACCGATTTAGTCAATTACAGATGAAAAATGTATTTTTAATTATTTTAATTACTCAAATTTTAGAGTATGGAATAAGCTATCCAATGGGGTTGAAGCTGAAACTTCCAAATAATAATAATAATTTAATTTAATAATTGCTTACACTTATATAGCGCTTTTCTGGACACTCCACTCAAAGTGCTTTACAGGTAATGGGGTCTCCCCTCCACCACCACCAGTGTGCAGCCCCACCTGGATGATGCGACGGCAACCATAGTGCGCCAGAACGCTCCCCACACATCAGCTATCAGTTGGAGGCAAATGGCCTCCCCTCCATTGTAAGCTTTCATATATTCTTATGGGCTTTCAGAAGCAGTTGTACTGCCCTAACTGGGTACTGACCCAGTTTACTACCATATTTAAGTCTGACTCCCCAAGTCTCTAGGGTGTTGAAATAAAAGGCCAGATGAGATCCTTGGCTCAACATACCACCTTTAAAGTGCAACTGGCTGCCAACCACTGGTCTCGCTACCAGCGAGAGCGAAAGTTCCCACGGATTGTGACTTGAAGCGGCCCTTCCTGCTCGCTAGTCACTGTGTTGCACGAGCGAATAAGTGCAGGTTTTGGAGCGGACATTTCACCGCAGGAATGTTCCAACATGATGGGCATGTAGAGTTAACAAGTAAATAGTATTTGTCGACAAAACTGCCTGAAAGCCGAGAGCAATATTTCTGTTGGATCAAAAGAGATGTATTCACTGCTTGTTCATGATGTAATAGTATCCGCTTCACCTCACCTGACGTTTGGTTGCCTTGTTCTGAATTGCAGCCAATGAATACAATATGGAGCTGCGCGTGTCTGCAAATTTAATCTATTTTGTGATGTAAATAGGAGGTTTTACACATTACTGTGTACATTTTACTTTCACTGTAGTTTGAAATAAGATAAAATCACTTGCATTTGCAATGCAATTTCTTGCATTAGGAATTTGTCTTTTCGCAGACCCCAGCTTACTCTCCATGAGAGACACAGACAGGGAGAGAAGCTTGGGGTCAGAGCGCAGGGTCAGCCATTGTACAGCGCCCCTGGAGCAGTTGGGGTGAAGGGCCTTGCTGGGGCCCAGCAGAGTAGGATTCCTCTGCCGGCTGCAGGATTTGAACCAGCAACCTTCCAGCCACAGTGCCACCACTCCACCCCTATATCTTTAAATTTGATATTCAAGAATGTTAATAATTTTGAATATTTGTCAGAATTCACAGATTTTTCACTAACCTGGAGCAGTTATTATTATTATTATTATTATTATTATAATTGCTTACACTTATATAGCGCTTTTCTGGACACTCCACTCAAAGCGCTTTACAGGTAATGGGGACTCCCCTCCACCACCACCAATGTGCAGCCCCACCTGGATGATGCGATGGCAGCCATAGTGCGCCAGAACGCTCCCCACACATCAGCTATCAGTGGGGAGGAGAGCAGAGTAATGTAGCCAATTCATAGAGGGGGATTATTAGGAGGCCATGATTGGTAAGGGCCAATTGGAAATTTGGCCAGGACACCGGGGTTACACCCCTACTCTTTTCGAGAAGCGCCCTGGGATTTTTAATGACCACAGAGAGTCAGGACCTCGGTTTTACGTCTCATCCGAAGGACGGCGCCTGTTTACAGTATAGTGTCCCCGTCACTATACTGGGGCATTAGGACCCACATGGACCGCAGGGTGAGCACCCCCTGCTGGCCCCACTAACACCTCTTACAGCAGCAACCTTAGTTTTTCCCAGGAGTCTCCCATCCAGGTACTGACCAGGCTCACACCTGCTGAGCTTCAGTGGGTTGCCAGTTGTGAGTTGCAGGTTGTGAGGTTAAGGGCCTTGCTCAGGGGCCCAACGGAGTAGGATTCCTCTGCCGGCCGCGGGATTTGAACTGGCAACCTTCCAGCCACAGGCGAGGATCTTTAACCACAGTGAAACTGCTCCGAAATGGACTCATCAATGTCAGCTCTTTCTTACCTCAACATATAAAACTAGCATTGCAGTTCCCTTTTAACCGAGGGAGCAATATAAATGCAGTGATGTCTCTTTTGGAATCTTACGAAGAAACATTGTCCATCCACCTATTTTCTAACCACTTGATCCAGTTCAGAGTCCCAGGAGAGCTGGGATCTATCCCAGCAAGCAACTGGTGCAGGGGGCAGTATATTCTGGATCAATTACCAGTCCATCACAGGGCACACACAGACACAAACCCAACAAACACGCACCAGAGCCAATTGTCCCAGAAGCCAATTCAAAATATAATAACATTTGCAAACGTGGAGATAATTTGACCCATCTTGGTCAAAGGAAACTAGGACATCAATGTAATTGTTTCAGCGGTACTGTATGTGACTTGGTAAGTTTTTCTAGAATTTTTTTATTGATTTATCGAACACAGCTGAATGATTCTGAAATAAAATAATATTAAAAAAATCACACGATGAGGCGAAAGAGTCGATATGAAATCCATAGTTTACTACGTTTTAGCTACCACGAGGTGGAGACAAAGAGACTAAATGTAAAGAATACAGAATACAGAGCCAATCACTAACATTATTATTTAGTATAGAAGGCCATTTACTTAAATTATTATTATTTTTTACAATATGTGACCACCACACATGGTCCATCTGTTCTGACACGTCACGAAACCTTAATGAAATCGTCTGAAAAGAGATCCGAAAAAGTTAGGTCTCGTCATTTTATGACAATAGTCGTTTTTCTTCCTGTATTAATAAAAAACACCCTTAACACAAAGTTCTTTCAAACTTCAACATTCAAGGTGCAATTGAATTCTACTCACCTTGCCTTACTGACAATAACTGTACAAAATAAATCAGATTGTATGTTCAAATTGACCATGTAATCGTCTTTAATCGTTGCTTATCACTTTAAAAGTATAATCCTGCACCAAACCGCAGCTACTGAAATGTAGCATATTAAAAACAATGTGCGCACTTTAAGGGGGTCTTTCATCACGCGAAATACTAAACTTTTAAGTCTTCAGTTTAATTTTAACCATGGTAATACACAAAATGATACTTCCAACTGTATCTTGTGTCTTCAGTTTTCCTTACCAATAGCGAAATCATTGATCACGTGGCTATGAGTCTGACGTCAATTAAAATAGACCGCAAGGCGTTTGAATGGTTTGGACATATTTTGAATGCCCTTTTAAATATTTTTACTCTAATGTTTCCCATTTTATAGAGATATTGAGGATGGGATGTTGTGCAATAGATTATATTTTACTCCGTTTAATGGTTTACGTTTTACCTCGAAATACTTTTTTTTGTAATAAAGGAATGCTCACCCACTTTGTGCAAGTGACGTGTTTCTCTTGCGCGGGATGTAGTCGCTACACGTCTGCCTGTGAGTGTGAAGGAATCGAGGCGAGCAGGAAGTGGCTGGATTGATGATGTGCACCTGGAGTGTGACACAGCTGTAAGGTAGTACACGTACCAGAAACGGACTTAATGAGGAATCACTTGTAAAGTGTGAGCAGACGCTGTCGTTTAAGGGCGGAATTGCGTGCAATGTATCGCGTTTGGTTGTGGTTTTATGTCCATCAGTAGCAGCTGTATTGAAAGAAGTAGTCCACTTCCCAAAGAAAGCGCCCTGCGAACAGCTTCCTTGTTTATTTGAATCGGTCGAGGCATTTTGCCGTTAGAAAGTACGCCGATATATTATTGAGGGAGTTGTACTAGAATCCTGCATGCATACACGATTAAATTACGTTTCTTGTCACCAGTGGGTGATTGTTTTAATATAGATTCTTTACATGGCCTTTCCAGATCTCGAGCAAATTTAGCAGCTGTGTTTTTTTTATACAAAATTGTATTAAACAACAATGTAAAGTGGGTATCATAGGCCGTAGGATTTTAGCTTGAAATATATCCGCTGTTCTTTATAGTAGCATTGAGTTAGTAAGTAAATTCCCACACGTGTAAACACTTTCTTCTGTATGGTTATCCATGCGTTCTTCTCTTTTCCAAAGCAACACGAATCTCCAGCAGTCTCTTGCTTTGTTGACAACATTCATTGCTTAAATGTGACATAAACTGACCGACAGAGCTGTAGCGCTTTGGAAAGGCCGTCTAGTTGTGTGTTGGTACAGAGAAGGTGGCAAACGGAGCAGCTTTGTTAACAAAAGATTAAAGTCGGTCCTTAGTTATGATCGTACTGTAGAACAGAGTTGTGCCCTTCAGAGTGCCACAGCCTCGTAGGGTGTTAGCCTTTGATCTGGAAGAGAGCATCCGTTTGAGACTTGGAAAAAGTCTAGTGCCATCTAACTAATCAGGAGATCAGCTGGAACGAATGAAGCCTCCTTTTATTATGTTCGGCTCGATAATGCTACGTTTATAGTACATTTGTAATTGAATAGTTTGTTGCAGCTAATACGACAGCACCCTGTATTTGTACTGCAATGTTTCCACCATCTAACTGGGAAGAGCAGATGTGCTTCTGACTACACAATAGTAAAGCTGGACATTTTTTAATAAAAAAGAAAAGATTTCACCTTGTCTCATTTAAAGAGTGACTTTATGAGCCAGTTATCTTTCCATTTTCTTAACAGTTGTAAAAGAAACTGGAGTATGTTTAATTTCAGATGTGTTCTTAAAAAGGTAGGTTGTGGCAGTGGGATTTTGTATACACACACTGGTGGGATTATTTTTTATGTTTTGAATACAGTAATAAAGTGTACATGGTCTCAGTGCAGTGGTCTTACTTAAGATAAGATCTTATTTAATTGCATAAAGATGTGCCCCAGGTTCTATGAATGTAACACAAACAAAACAGTCAATATGAGCAGTTTTCTTTGTTCAAAATTTGGATTGGGGGTATTGAATTTCCCTTCGGGATCAATAAAGTCTTATCTTGAAGCACTATTGCACAAGGTATTTCTATCAAAGAAGACAAATCCTTCTTATTTTATCCTAGTAAAATTGACTTAGGTTGTGATCTTGCCACCTGCCGCCATGCAGAGAGTTATATTCAGCAATCGAGAAAGTTACTTTTAAAAGTAAGCCATCGTTACAGTTACAAGCCATCTGTGTAAAGGGTTACTTTTTAAAGTAGCCCATTACGGTTACAAGTTAGTTGTGTAAAGTTTTACTTTTAAAAAGCCATTCATTGCAGTTATAGTTTCTAGTTAATTGTGTAGTAGGGGGTTACCTTTTGAAACGTAACTTTCCCCAGCACTGATTATATTTATCTGATGGCAGATTTCGGCAGCACTTACCGGAGATGGGAAAAAATAAATCAGTGTAAAGGTTCACTAAAAATGTGAATATTGTAAGCGAAGGCTGATCTATCCAAGGCTTTTTATGCATCCTTGGAGTTCTTCAGTGCGTCGGAGTGCGTCATCTTCCGTCTCCTCCCGTCCAGGTTGTCGAGGGAAGGATGGGCAGGCAAAGGCATGGAAAGAGGGTGCTGACTAACAGCAGCAAAGATGGGGGCGATGCCGTCTCCGGCCGGAAGGAGGAGAAGAAGAAGGACATCCCCAACTCCATCCTGCATCGCAAGGAGAAGAAGAAAAAGATGGATCTGGCCAAGCTCTTCATCAACATTTCCATCGGCCTCTGCATCTTCAGCTTGATCTGGTTCTTCTACGCCCTGTACATGCGCTCCTATCTGGCCAGGAGGATCATCACTCCTCACCCCTCGATGAGAATCCTGGATGCCAACAGCACCAGCGCGGCTGTGGCCCCTGACAGGTTCTGGGGCTCCTACAGGCCCCAGGTGTATTTCGGAATGAAGACAAGGAGTCCCAGATCGATCGTGACAGGTATTTTATCTTTTGCTGTTGGGGAAGAGTCTATCTTCGTTCTTCAATACAGCTTGTTTTTGTTAGGTGCACATTTAACCACGTCTGTGACGCTTTTATCATTATTTTCTTGCATTACCTTATATAGCACTTTCATCCCCAAAGATTCCAAAGAGCTCTACATTAAGGAGAGGACCTGTTTCATGCACCACTGAAGTGCAGCACCATCCTGGCTGCCATCATGCCCTAGCAGCCTCACCACACAGCTGATCGGGTGAACACCGAAAACTTGCTGCACCAATGGAATTGAAGTGGTGGTTGATGCTGTTGGATGTAGGCCCGGGGTTGAATGGAACCACAGCTGTGGCCATTCCCTTCCCAGTCAACCAAGCCACTCCCCTGCAGTTTGTCTAATTCTCTTTCATCTTTGGATTTCTTGGATTTTTTTTATCCTTTTCCATGAGGACTGAGAATGTGACACCTTAGGAAACCACTTAGGGATTTTTTTGTAAGGTTTTAATGTTTCTTTTATTTTGCCACGATCCGTTCACACACACCAGTCATCTCATAACAGGTCGACACACAACAGGCATCTTTAGCGTTCTTGAGGGAAACGGAGTAAAGAAGGCATAACCCATAATGCACTGCTACATGAACATGTTCACTCTGTTAGCATCTGTTTGGCTCTGTGGCTCAGGATCTGCGCCTGTGGCTGGAAGGTTGCCGGTTCGTATCCGCGTTTGGCAGAGGAATCCTACTCCGTTGGGCCCTCTGAGCAAGGCCCTTCACCCCAACTGCTCCAGGGGCGCTGTACAATGGCTGACCCTGCGCTCTGACCCCAAGCTTCTCTCTCTGTCTGTGTGTCTCATAGAGAGCAAGCTGGGGATGTGAAAAGACAAATTCCCAATACAAGAAATTGTACTGTATATGGCCAATAAAGTGATCTTATCTTAACCAAGCTTTACTATAGACACCGATGCAGATCCACAAGATGAAAATGATGCACCAGTGGCCACATTTCCACTCCAGAATGTTTTGCGAATGCAGAGAAAGTGGTTGCTAATAATTTGGCGCAGACAGGTGACCTCGCAAATGGCGGTTTCACTGTCTTGGCGGCGGTCTGGCCTCTCGCTCAGGGCTGATGTGGATGCGGCAGTTCGGCGGGGCGGACGTGAGCCTGCGGCACACCTGCGAGCAGGGCGACCGGCTGCAGAGCTACGGCTGGACGATGCACGACGGCGTCCACTTCGGCATCCAGGAGGTCCGGGACTCGGACTTCACGCTGACCACCGAGTTCGTGAAGAGGGCGGGAGGGGAGCACGGGGGAGACTGGACCTGGAGGGTGACGGCCAAGCAGCAGGTCAGCGCAAACACCTCACTCTCTGCCCACTGTCCCCCCGCCCCGGCATCATTCATTGTCTGCTCCTGTTGTTTGCTTTCTACTTTTTCCCCTTCTGCTTGTTACTTGTGTGACAATACGGTGATGCACGCCTGCCTCAATACATCAGCAGTGTAATAACAGCAGCACAGAGCTGTGATGAGATCATTTCATCTGCTTGTGATGGTGATGGCAGAAGAAATCCATTAAATCCAACACTGTTGAAGGAGTTTCTGGGAACCACCTGCTTTTTCTTTACGTGCAAGGGTCTGTAATGTTTTGCAGCCTTACTGCTAATAAGGGGGACTGCAATGGGTTTTCATCAGAAGAGCACATCATTCTAAAATTTCCTCAGTGCATTTCAAGGCTGCTGAATTATTACTTTGTAGCCGGATCTCATCAGACCTCAGAAGCTAAACAAGGCTGGGCCTGGGCAGTACTGGAATGGGAGACCTCTCGGGAAAACCAGGTTGCTGCTTTATATGTGGTTTTGCCAGACCAGTAGGTGGCGGTCTTCTCTGTAGAGCAGAATTTTCAAACCAGTGTCTCTACTGTAGAAATATTTGTAGGATATGCTTAGGATGAGACATTAAGCCATGGTCCTGATTGCTTTACCATTAAAGATCCCTTGTTGCTGTTCATGAGTGTGGTGCCTTTAACACCAGTAGTTTGGCTAGATTTGGCTTTGGGCCTGCACGATCAAGCCCTCCCAAAGCTCCTCCTAATCCAGATGGTGAAGCACTTTCTCACTTGTCCACCCGGTTTGTTGTGTAGTGGGGCTGCTGGTGCAGTATGGCTGCCTTGCAACTGGGTGCTACATTTCAGTGATGGATATTGTAGTTTGCCCGCTATTTCTAAAGCGCTTTACAATCCTTTGGAATTAAAAACACTAGATGCATCCATCCATTTTCTAACCACTTTATCCAATAAACGGTCATAGGAGAGCTGGAGCCAATCCTGGCCATGTGTACAAGGTGGGATACACCCTTGACAGGACTTCAGTCCATCGCAGGGCAGGCACCAGAGCAAGTTTACTCAGAAGCCAGGATGCAAACAGAGAATTGTTTTCTCATTAGACAGTTGTGTGGATTTTGTATTTTTCCACCAGGCTGCTTACGGTACGTTTTCTTTGCATTGTTGCTGATAGAATTGCTTCCTGCTTCAGTTCCTGCTTGTCTGCTCAGAATAAAAACGCCTGGTGTCTTGTGAAAAGGATAGGTGCACTAGCATGCCTTTGTAAATGCTTTGTCTAAAATTAGCTGATCAAGTCAATGTGCTATCCCTTGCTGGAACAGGTTATTATATTCTGCATTTGTTAATCTTCATTGTTTTGTTTTAAATCATTATTTGTTTTGTGGGGAAAAAAGGAAAGCAAATAACTTTCTTTGTCTCTGTGTTCTGTTCCATTTAAAGATATCAAGCTGTGACCTGGTATTATCTATCTCCCCTTTTACTCCCATACTGACTACGTCTGAAAGTCTAAACCCCTTTAAAACCCAGTGTCGGTCATCTCCTCACCCTGCTTTCTGTATGGACAAGAGGACCTCACTTTTGTGAAATTGTGTCTTACTAACATTTCTACCTTATGCGGTGTCAAAGATGCTGGACAAAACAACTTGGAAATTTTGAAGTATTTTGATTTCCAAACTACTTGGTTTCTAAGGTTCTACAAAGAATGCCACAGTTTCTAATTAATTGCTAGTTAACAGAATGCTTTGATTGTCAATAATAAGGCCTATGGTACCCAAAGAGCTCACCTGTCCAAACTTGTCATTATCTACTTACTGCATGATCCTATTACAGATATCAGCTCACTTGCTTTACATTCTTTGATGCTTTAACTTCAAAGAATACATTGCTAATATTTCTACTCATTAGTGAAGTCATTATTGATTATGAAAAACGAAGCCCCATGAGTCAGATCTATTTATCATCCATGCACTCTGTGTTTGTGGCAGGAGTGGCTACCTTATGCTTTTAGTGATGTTCACCTGTTTATTTATGTGCATCACTGATGTAAGCATCACTGTTCAGTGACAGCTCGCATTGTCACACCCCTGTTTCTACAGTAAGCAGTGGGCAGAAATAGTCCAATGGGACATAATTAGATGAATCACAAACACATTTATTTATTTATTTAAAAATAAGTTAGCAGTTGTCAGTAAAACAAACACATGCTCTTCCCCTGGACTACCAAGGAAAGACTTTATCATCTTGAACTGATTGCTTTGTGTTTTTGTTATGAGTTATAAGTCCTTGTGTGTCCTAGATGACAACTAAGTTCTCTCCTTATCCACAGTATCTTTCCAATGTTATTGCTTCTTTAGAGCATGTGTACTTTACTCCTGTTTGACCTTGTATTCCTGTACTGGAAAGACCATTACGAGAGGAATGTTTTTCACACCTTGCCCATATATCACTGGCCACCCATTCTGAAAGTTCCTCTAAAGCAGTTATGTTCATTCCTGTTCCTGGAGGGCCACGGGTTTTCAAGTCGGTCTCTGCCAGTTACTTAAGAACATAAGAAAGATTGCAAACAAAAAGGAGGCCTTTCAGCTGATCTAGTCCATGTGGTAGTTGATTGGCTCAAGAATCTTATCCAGCCATTTCATTACAAAAAACAGGATATTGGCTTCAACAATCCCAGCTTGCTACCAGGCTTAACAGGACCAATTTAACAGCTTAACTTAGCTATGCAGGTGTTGCAAATTTGAAGAAACCTTCAACACCCGAAGACACGCTGGCCCTCCAGCACCACGTTCATATGCCTCTGCCCTGTCGGTATCTGGATTTGCCAGTGCCTGTGGTGGTTCTGTGAGGAGGGCTGTGTGTGAGCCAGGTAGGGCCAGGAGGGCTGGTATGAAATCGGCAAAGGATTCCTCCACTCAGCTCTGTTCCTGTTGGTTGGCTCATCCTCAGAGCTCGGCTGCCCACGCGCCTGTGATCTCCCTGCTGTTCTACGTGGCTGCAGACAGTCAGGGTTCCCTGCAGGCCCATGTTGAGGAGAAGAACCGCCTGGGTTCTGTCACAGGATTTTCTGAGGAGCTGGGACACTTCAAGCTCACCTTCCGCAAGCCTGCCGCTGGGGAGGCTACCAGTGCCAAGTTCGCCAGGTATGACCACAGACTTTACGCGTTTAGTGCCTTCAGGTTTTCTGGACCTAAGGATTCAGTTCTGCTGAAGTATAATAAACTTGGGGGTCCATTGGATCTGTCTTAAAGATTGTTCTCGCATAAGTCACTAGTGGATTCCAACCGATTGCTGGTAAACATTTTACCATAGAACTGAATGCCAGTGTCACAGCAGGGAGTGTGGTGTCCTTACCTTTTTTAAGATAAGTTGCAAGAGATAGAAATCTCAGCTAATTGATAAGTTTTGACCTTGGATTTTGGCCCTAGATTTCTGCACGCTTAAGAATGTAACGATTACAAACAAGAGGAGGCCCTTCGCCCATCGCTCCCTCTTGTTTGCTAGTAGCAGATGGATCCAAGGATCTCAGATCTGTTTCTTGAAAGAAGTCAGGGTATCAGCTTCAAGTGTTTGGCTGGGTGGCTTGTTCTATACTCCTCCACTGTTTGTGTAATGAAGGGCCCCCTTACCTGATTTGAGGATTTCATCCAGCCATTTCTTGAAAAAAGCCAGGGTATCAGCTTCACCGATGTGGCTGGGTTCAGCATACCTTAAGATGTGTCAGATGTGCTGTGTGTACACCTGATTTTTTTGTTCTGTTTCGTTTTCTAGCTACAATTACCTGAAGACGGTCAGCCCCGGCTTAGAGAAGCTGACAGACATTGTGAAAAGCAGCCTGAGTGGGAAGTTTATATATAGTCCCCCATCTGGTGAGAAGCGCCACTACATAGCGGTGGATACCTACAGGCCCCCTCCGCCCTCCCATCAGCAGCAGCAGCAGCGCGGGGAGACCCGGAAGGAGAGCGATTTCGTGGTGCACCAGGTGACCGTCCAGACGCCCTTCCAGATGGAGGTCCTGTTTGAGTCGGGCAGCTTCCGGGACCGGCCCAATCAGCTGGTGGGGGAGGTGATGACGGAGGAGCTGGAGAGAAGGAAGGGGGCTTTTGACGCCAAGTTTGAGGAAACCTTCGAGCTCCAGAGGAAAGGGTACACCCCATCTCAGATTAAGTTTGCCAAAGCAGCACTGAGCAACATGCTGGGTGGTTTGGGCTACTTCCACGGTCAGTCGGCCGTTCAGTCCATATACAACGAGTACCCGCTGGTTTACCCCGAGGGCCCCTTGTTTACCGCTGTCCCATCCCGCTCCTTCTTCCCCAGAGGCTTCCTCTGGGATGAGGGTTTCCATCAGCTCCTCATCAGTAAGTGGGACTCTCAGATCACCGGGGAAGCCATTGCCCACTGGCTGGACCTGATGAACGTGGAGGGCTGGATTCCCCGGGAGCAGATTTTAGATGACGAGGCTCGCAGCAAAGTGCCGGCCGAGTTCATCATCCAGCGGAATGAAAACGCCAACCCGCCCACGCTTTTCCTGGCACTGCAGAAGCTCGTGGAGCGGTTCGCCGCCGCGGCAGAGGCGAATGAATCAGCACTGCAGGGCACCAAAACCTTTCTGAGAAGGCTGTTCCCCAGGCTGCAGACCTGGTTCGAGTGGTACAACACAACTCAGGCTGGGCCCCTGCCCAACTCCTACCGCTGGAGGGGCAGGGACAAGGACACCAACCTCTTCCTCAACCCCAAGACCCTGACGTCCGGCCTGGATGACTATCCCAGAGCCTCTCACCCTTCCCAGGACGAGAGGCATGTGGACCTGTACTGCTGGATGGCCCTGGCCTCTGGGATCATGGCTGACATTGCCAAGCTTATCGGGGAGCCCCACCAGGAGTATGAGAGGACTCAGCTGATCCTGGGTGACAACATGCTGCTGAGTGAGCTGCACTGGTCCGAGCAGCTCAAGGCTTTCTCCGACTATGGGAACCACACTCAGGCGGTGTCCCTCCAGAGGGAGAAGGTGTACGTGCCACCCGGGCAGCCCCGTCACCAGTTTCCGCCAGCCCGGCTTGTGCGCGCGATCCGCAAGGCCCCCAAGCTGCAGTACGTCAACGCCTTGGGCTACGTCAGCCTCTTCCCCTTCCTGCTGCAGCTCCTGACGCCCGACTCCCCCAAGCTGGAGCACATTCTCAAGGACATGAGGGACGAGCAGAAGCTGTGGACGCCCTACGGCCTGCGCTCCCTCTCCAAGTCCGACCCCCTCTACATGAAGCGCAACACGGAGCACGATGCCCCCTACTGGCGCGGCCCCATCTGGATCAACATTAATTACCTGGCCGTCAGAGCGCTGCATTACTACGGCCGCACTGACGGACCATACAGAGAAAAGGCAGCCGCTCTCTACCAAGAGCTGAGGACTAATATTATAGAGAACGTGTACAGACAGTACATGGAAACTGGCTATATCTGGGAACAGTACAATGACAGCACAGGCAGAGGCCAAGGAAGCCACCCCTTCACAGGCTGGTCTGCTCTGTGTGTGTTAATGATGGCAGAGCAGTACTGAGACAGCACGGGAGTGAGCTCTACAGCTGTGTGAACAGCACTCTACCGTCTCTAGTATGTGCCATTGTTTTTGTCTGAAGTCTCAGTTTTTCATCCAGACTTGATCTGCCATTGTCGAAAGGAAGCGGACGAGAAATGAGTGGTTTTCTGTCTTTAATTTCTCGGGGAATCTTTCTTAACTTGTTTTCTGTAGAATCTAGAAGTTTTTATGGAGCCATATGAGTCCAGATCTGTTCATTTTGCTCAAGGACCTTTGTAGGGGTTGAACAAAAAGGAAAGTAATTATTTTGTCCGTATAGAGTTAACTCAGTCTGGTGTCTTATGTTACTAAGTGTATGTGTATTTCTGATTTACTTGGTGGAACAAAGTGCTGACCCATAATTTTAAACTTGTTTTTCCTCTTTTATGTTCCCAGGTTGATGGTTTAAGGTAATTTAACTGCACAAAAGTGCAAGAATAAAATAACTGGTTTATGTTTAATAACTTGCTACTGATGCAAGTAAACCTCTTTACTCATCCTGCTGATTGAAATAATTTCTCACAGGACTTCTGCCTTGTAATTGGGCAAAGGCCTTTAATAAGAAGGCAGTGGTCTTATTCACTGTCCAGTTCCCCCTGACCCACAGCAAAGGGGATGATTCAGGTTCTACAGGCCTCTGAATGTGATCCTAGATCAAAGAGTTTATAGGAATGACCCTCATAAGACAGGCATGACATATTACCAATGAGAGAGTTCAATATGTCTTTGCTTTTGTTATTTAACCAATTAACAAGATATTATTCACACCCAGTTAGTCCTGAAATTCTTGGGAGGCCTTGCGTGAATGTCTGGATGTCCCAATCTGATTTACCAAGAATGTATTCAGACGTATTGTGGTCTAGTATTATAGGCTTTATTTTTGCAATATGTAAAACAAGGACAAAATATTGCATTCAAACAAACGTGTTCTTAGTTACACAGTACTGCCTCTTCAAAGTGAGCAGCTTTTGACCGAGAGCTGCAACAGCAGATGATCACAAACCGAGCAGATGCTAACACATCTGTATTTTGACTCAGGCAGATGTCTGGAAGAATACTGTTAGTCCCACAGCCACACAAGAGCTGTTGGGGAAATCTGAAGTCTGCTTTTTTAGGGGGTGATCATTTAAGTACGCTGGATCTGTAATGCAACTGTAAAAAAAGGTCAGTGGTCCTTCAGTTTATCAGGAGCAGCAACCATTTCAAGACTAAGATCAATATAGAACAGAAATTAAAATGTGTTCACCAAAATGTGGACATATGGGAATGAGTGATTAGAATGTGTATATATATTTTAAAATGCTAAATATGACATGAATTGAAATTGTATACATTTATATAAATTTTAGTGCTTTTTAGTAATTGAAAAAAAAACGAAAACTGGCACTGTGAGACTGTTGTACTGTTTAAAATACGAGACTCTGCTGCAAATCCAATTATCAGTGGAGTTCTGTGGCACCTGTCATTTTCACGGCTTGTCATCTAGTCCCTGGTCATGAAGCTAGTTGTAGGAGATCAGAGCTCCAGTCTCATTACCATGCGGAATTTGTGGTGTTTGTAGAAAAGTAGTTTGTTTCAAAAGCCTTCTGTTGGTGTCCTTTCCCTTTCTGGTTTCTTTTTTAGATCTTCTTTTGAGCCTAGTTCATCACAGAGCAACAGCGCTCTGCTGGTTGGAAGGCACCGCTTTCATTTATTATTAAGTCAAGAAAAGATGTCAAGCTACAGCTTTGGTGACGGGTCACCTGGTTCTCCCGGGGCAGCTTAAAGTTGTTTTTCTTCTAGAAAAGAGTGATCTTGGAAGTACATATGCTGTCTGTTAATGATCTCAAAGGAATGAGATGTTGAATAAAGAAGCTCCCAGGGCCATCAGAATATATCATGACATCATGGTGTGGGCACTATGTAGTGATGTATACAGTGATACCTTCTCTCTCCTTTATTATAATGCAGGCTGCATATTTTACCACTGTACAGTTCCAGTTCAAAGCCCCTTGAGGTAAAACTCTTGAGAAATCGCAGCTCCCCCAGCTATGACATTACGGTTAACATCGTCTGCATTCATAAAGCATTTGTTCACTAGAGTAAACGGCCTAACGGAACTCTCAAAAGCTCAGGTTATTTGCTCCTGAATGGAAATCTTCATTTCTAGAGGGAGGTGTGGTGGGTTTGGGGGGCAGTGAGGGACATGTCTCCATGTGGTGTTTGCTTACTCTGCTTTGTTTAACGCGGTTGTCGGTCAGTGGAGTGACGTGCTGTTCTGTGCTGAAGGGGGCCGGGGGGTGTTATTGAGGGGAGCAATGTTCTCCAAGGCTGATGCAGGGTGCTCCTGCTTTTGTAAAACCTGTAAGACATTGTTTGTTACCTTGTGGAAATAAAGGTAGTACAGGACACACATGGTCTTTATTTTCACATTAGCAAACTGTTTAACTGGTACTTTGAAATTTACCATCCAAAGCCTGCAAAGGTCATCTGTTTTCTCCTCCCTGTGGGCTTGCACTTGCTAAAACCTTGTGTCATTTTCTCAGTGAGATCAATTTAACCTGCTGAGTCCTAAAGAGCATTAGGATTTATAGGCAGCCATTAAATTTAAGAACTTTGTACTTGTGCTGCTTACGTGATTGTAAGCTCCTACATGCTATTATTGTAAGGCCACTTTAATCATTTGAATTTTCTTTTTTCTTGGTTTGGCTTCCTCATCAAGAATGTATTCTTAAATACAATATACAGGTGCTGCATCACTGCCATTTGGTAGGTTTATTCTTACTTGTCTGACATTATTATCCAAAGCAACTTACATTTCCACCAATTTATATAGCTGGGTATTGTGCTGAAGCAGTCTGAGTGAAACATCTTACTTGGGGTACAACAGCAGAGTCTTCCTTTGGATCTGAACCTACAGTCTTCCAGTTACAAGCCCAGATACAGTACCTGACACAATACAATGATTGACTAGATTTAAAAATAATTTTGTGGTTCTCAGGTAAACATGACTAGTTCTCCTCCTCGAGTCTGTTTTTTATTTTACCTTATCCTCTGTATTTTAAAGCTCATTGTATACATAGCAGGCATTTTCCTTAACCAATGTACCAATTATTAACATAATGAGCTAACCTTTTGCTATAGTGTGGAATGCACATAGGAAGACAATAGGAAATACACTGTTACAGAAACACTCCCAAATGAGCCATCAGTATTGCAGTGGATGAAGTCAGGAATGTTTAGTGAGTTTTTGCACCGAAATAAAGCACACCTCTGATAGGGTGTCCCAGCCCATTAAAATCAGGTACTCAGACATACCTACCTAGTGCCCTAGTCTGTCTATCTTTACCTCAAAGGTGTGCAAATGTCTTAGCATTGCCTGAAACGGATTATGTCTCCAATACAAATCCAATCTTGAGAGCATACTTTCCTGTATGTGTTATAACACTTCTTGAAGAATTACACACAAGAGGTGGTAAAATGGTGTACAATGGTTCCTATAGGTAACTCCCAACCATTCATTGTAGTCCAAAAACATGATTTGCTCGTGTCTCATAAGTGAGTACAAATGCATACTAGATTTCCCAGGTGTTGTGGTACATTCGGGTTTTATTTTGGGAGGGACTGCACTTTTTAAAAAAAGATAAAATGCCATTGTAAGAGTAACACTATATCTGAACTGACTGTCGAGAGCTGACTCAAGATTGAGTTACCCGATACTGTTTTCTTGCAATCTTGTGGAACTGTCCAATTACCAGTGGGTGCCCTGTAGAAGGTAGAAGGTGTCCTGATACTAATGTAATGCTTTACAGCCATTGTAGGAAAATGTTTTGGAATTCTGTCTGAAAGGCAGCTGAATTTGCAAGATATTTCCGGGTGAGAGTTCTGGAGAGGGGAAAGGTGCCCTTTTGTGCTCTTCACAGTGTTTATAATAAACTTTGGGGAGGGATGACAACTTCAACCAATCAAATTCAATCACCCTTAGTAGTCAGTAATCAACTCTGACTTCATTTCCTCACCTAAACATATAAACATATAAATATAAATACTGGACGTGATCCCCTTCTCTCCCTCACAAACATCTTCTGCGTCCCCCCTCCACCCCATCTCCACCTGCTGCTGCCCCTTGGTCACCCCTCACTCTGCAAGGGGGTCCCAGTCTCCTCATCCTCTGGGCAGGAGGTTGACTAAAATACTTCATAAGCCTTTCAATGTGCTTAACTCTTCTCCCTAATTAAAAAATAAATTGTTTGCTAAAGACTGTCAAGTTTTCTCCATAGGTAGTGATTTGAATCATAAAAAATAATAAATCATTACGCTTATATAGCACTTTTCTGGACACTCAACTCAAAGCTCTTTACAGGTCATGGGGACTCCCTTCCTCCACCACCAGTGTGCAGCCCCACCTGGATGATGTGACAGCAGCCCATACTATACTCACAGTACACTCACCACACAGCAGCTATCAGTGGGGAGGAGAACGTGAGGAAGCCTGTTCATGGATGGGGGTTATTAGGAGGCCAGGATTGGTAAAGGCCAGCTGGAAATTTGGCCAGAACACCAGGGTGACGCCCCTTCCCTTTCCTACCCTTTCCGAACTACACCCTGGGATTTTTAATGAGCACAGAGAGTCAGGACCTTAGTTTTATGTCTCATCCAAAGGACTACACCCTTTTGCAGTATAGTGTCCCCATCACTATACTGGGGCATTAGGACCCCCACAGACCACAGGGTGAGCACCTCCTTCTTGCCCCTCTAGCACCTCTTCCAGCAGCAACCTTAGTTTTTCCCAGCAGGTCTCCCATCACGGTACTGGCCAGGCTCACACCTGCTGAGCTTCACTGGGCTGCCTGTTGTGAGCTGCAGGGTGATATGGCTGCTGGTGTTTTTAACTGAACCTTAAGCTGTTCCTTTTCAGAGTTTTTCATGCTACTCCTCAATTCTGTTCTCATCTGATACCATTAGCTCCGCAGTTGACATTGGCCTGTTCCGTGTCCCATCAGAAAAGTCAGACCTTGTCTGCTGTTGTGTAAATAACGACTGCGAGACCCGGATCAGTAGAGCAAAACGTGGTTTGTTCTGAATGACAAGAGCGCAATCCAAGGCTTTGTGGTTTCATCCATTCACACATGAAGGCTGCCTGACGTCATGCTGGAACAGGTAATTGTTTCTTTTCAGCTGTGTTGCCATGGCAAAGCTGCATTGTTAGGCCCTGCCGCTAAAGTGGATGGCACGATGAGATGATTTTGTACCAATGTTCGTGAATGATCATTTCATGCAAATAAAACGGAATTTCACATTTTGGGTAAAATGACGTCAGTATTTAATTTCTATGTAAGATAGAAGAATTTAAAATAGTGTTTTCAAAGTATATCAGGTCCAAAGGGCACATCACAAACTATTGT